GACCTCCAGCGTGACCGCCTGGTTCATGAGGTGCCGTACGTCCCCGGCCGTCCAGGGGAGGTTCTGGAAGCCGATCTTGCGCATGCCCTCATAGGCCAAGCAATGTGCTCGGATGGTCCGGAAACGGGCATCTCCGAACAGGTGGCCAAACTCCTCCAGCTCCTTGGCCCCCATCACCTGGTGCATGTAGGGGATCTGGTGGCGGAAGGGAATGAAGTAGCCCAGGAGGCGTTCCAGCCACCTGGCCCTCAAGTGCTGTTCCAACGCTCGTTGGGATGTCGGCAGTTGGGTTTTGATCTTCCCTGGTTTCCAATGCCGCCACTTGTTGGCCACTGCCAGGACATCCGGGGCCTCAATCGATCCGGAGAGGATCCACTCCTCACGGTCCCGGATGGCCTGTTCCATTTCCAGTGGAGAATAGGTGTACGATTGTCTAGCGCCTGCCGCACGAAACAGAAGTTGCTGCAGGGTCTTGGTAGCGAGCTCCAAATCCGCCTCCTCCAGCGGTTGTGGTTGGGAGCCGAGTATCCTTGCGAGGATCAAGTTGTAGGTGTCCGAGGCCACCAGGACATGGTTATCGTCGGGTGCCATCCCCACGATTCGTGTCCACGGTCGCGGGTCGAAGACCACCGCATCCGGGTTGGCAACCTGGTCCTTTTTGACCCATTCCAGGCAGCACGCCACGAGGATTTCCCCGTCCGACTGCACTGGTGCAAATCCAAGGTCATGCAAAATCAACTGGACCGCGGTTGGGACCCCTAGGAAGGTCGTTCCAAACGGGGAAGGGAGGCGGGGCCTCCACATCATCATGATCCACTCGAGCCCGGAGCCAAATCTCTAGGCGCCAACCCCAACCCAACAACAGGGGGGGGGCCCCAAAACCCCGGAAAGCCAAACCCGAAAACGGGGGGGGGGACCCGGGGAGCCTCCACGGAAAGGGAAAAACCAAACGAGGGGGGGGAGCCCAGGCGCACTCCGGACCAGCCCAAGCGCGCCCATTTTTCTCGCCTGGTACAGGTCAAGGCCTGTGCTGTGCCTGGGGGGGATATCAGCGCCATCGGCAGCTGTCCTCCCCCGGGGTGCCCTGCGAGTCCGTTCCGGATGGCCGCAGTGCTGCATGATCACACGGCCCCCTTGGCAATGTCGTCAATGCGCTTGAGCGCCGCCGCCTCCGGGTTCCGGAGAATCAGCTCCCAGATGGCATCTGAAACATGGCCGGTCTGGGTGACGTGGCTGAACCTAAACCGTGGGACTTTCTGGTCCACCACGGAGACATCCCGCAGCGGGGCAGACGGCTCTACCCGGCGGTAGAACTCCAGCCGTTCCTTGACCCAGCGGTTGTACAGTCCATCGGGCGGCTCGTCCAGCACCAGCTGAAGGATGGCCTTGCCGGCCCGGATCTGGAGGAGGCGAGTGCCCCCTCCCCCGGCGCGCCAGTACCCCTTGCAGTACTTGCACATATAGCCCCCCCGGGTCTCCCCCTTCGTCTTGGGGATGAGCTCCCATGGGGTGACTGAGCTCAGAACCAGGCCGCACTCCATGTGCGCCCAGAAGACGTGCTTCGTCTCTGCCGAGAAGTTCTTCTTCTTGTAATCCTTGCCCACCACGCCGTGGACGTTGTCCGATGTGATGGGGGGGTAGACGATCCCCTCATCGCCCTCTCCTCCCCTGGGGCGGATGTCAGGGGTCAAGGCCCATCAGCCTGATCATGTCGTTGGTGTAGCCTAGCTTGCGGTAGATGGAGGGGGCCACTGAGTCGGGGACTGCGCCGACCCACCACTGCTTCGTGTTGCAGCGCCAGTTGACTTTCACCTCCGCCAGGGCCCCCGGGCCTCCAATGCGGTCCATGAGGGCCTGGTACACCTCTGGGAACTGCTGGAGACTCTCCACCGGGACCGATATGCGCTCATCACATACCGCCCGGAGGATCATCTGTTCCTTGGAGTCCGCCACGTCCTGGACCGGGAGCTGCATTACCTCCGCCGGGGTGTCCGTGAGGAAGGCCCGGGCCGCAAGGACCTTGCCCATGGCCCGGTAGACCAGGCGCCACTCCGGTCCTGTCTGCGGAAGCGGAAGGCCCTCCTCCTTCAGGAAGCACCGAGCATCTTCCTTCAGGGTCTCCCAGCCTTCCAGGCGGATCTGATTCTGGGCCTTGTTCTTCGGGCCCCGCTGTCTAGGGCCCTGAAGCAATGGCAGAGACTCCCAGACTCCCCAGAGCTGGCGCAGAGTGAAGCTGTGACCAAACATCCCCAGCAAGCCTGGGAGTGTCCAGGACGAGATCTGGCGCGCCCAGTGGAAGTCCTCCTCCGGATCGTGGGGGGCCGCCCAGAAGATGGATCGCAGGTCCTCGGGGTATGGTCGGTCCCCCGCCTTGGCCTGCTGGTTCAGCTCTTCAACGGAGTACCTGGCCCATGGGAGTCCACCCGCCTGGTGGTTCCTGGGATGCGTACCCTTTTCCAGCGCCTCCGGATTCACCTTGGTGAGGTTGTTGGCCCAGTCCGGGACGTGTACGGGCCCCGGTCGTCGGACCCAGCGGCCCGCAAAGATGCGGACCTCTCCGACACGCTTGCTCATCATCCAGCGCAGGACCGCGAGCTGCACCTCCGGGTCCTGGGTGTCCAGGCCCCCCGGGGTGGCGGACGGCTTGTCAGGGCCCTCGGCACCTGAGCTCGTCGCACCAGAGCCCGAAGCTGGGGGGATGGTGGGCTGCCTGTCAGGGCCCTCGGCACCTGGGCGCGCCGCACCAGAGCCCCCCGCCTTTGGAATGGGGATCCCCGCCAGATCCGGCAGATCTGCCAGGAGGGCCCCCGGAAAGGGGTTCCTACCCAGCGAGATGACCGCCTTGGCTTCGAGGTAAGAGTCCGTGAGGGCGCTAGGCCACGCACTGAATGGAGGCTTGATGGGCTCGAGCATTCTGGTCTCGAGGGCGCCCTTCGCTTGTCTGGCCTGGTGCTTTGCCTTCGCCTCTTCCGCAGTGGTCTGGGCCTGGAGGAGCTCCGGTGTGGGCCTCCCCCAGTCCGCGCCCAGAAGGTCCAAGTCCAAATTCTTGAGGAGTTGTCCCCCATCGCCTCCTCCATCGATGGCCCCTCCTTGAAGCTCGTGGAGGACCGCCGCGGATCGCTCCACCGCTGCCACCTGGTCTGCCTTCTTGGCCTCTTCCTGGGCGATGGTGGTGGCGTTGAGCCGGGTCTGGATTTTGAAGGCCTTCACTGCCGACGGGTGGAAGGCCCTGCACTCCTGGCCCTCTTCCTTGTCGCCCGGCAACGGGGGCCTTTCCCCCATTGGGGCCGTCAGGAAATCCTCGTCCAGCTCCATGGGGCAGTTCCTGATCACCGCCCGGACCGAGGAGGGGACAAAATCCGAGAAGCTGGCCTGGTCCAGGTTCTCGATGGTCAGTGGCCAGCTCGCTGACATCCACCGAGGCGCTGAGCTTGAGGTCGCGGGCCCGGTCCGTATCAGGGCCATCGGCACCTGCGGACCGGGCCGCCGTCCAGACCGCATTGCCCTGGTCATCCACTGTCAGCTGCCAGTGCGTGCCCGCCATTTCCAGGGTGGCCAAGTTGGACGCCGTGTCGATGGGCTCCGTCTTTTTGCCGCACCCCATACACTTCCTGGCGCCCTTCTTCACCCAGGGCATGGTGCAGCAGGGGCAGATCCAGGATGTGGGCTCCTTACCCAGGGGGCGGTTCTCCAGGCCCCCATACCCCAGGCCAGCGCGCTTGCCAACCTTCTGTCCCGGGGTGCTGAGCAGGGCCTCATGCTCATACTTCATCTTGGCGATGTAGAACGCCTCCACCACGCGCTCCAGGCCCCCCTGCTTGAGTTGGGGGCCCTCAAAGCCTCTCAGGAGCCGCTGGACATCCTTGGCCTGCAGTCGTCGGAGCCTGGCGGCCGTGGTCCCATCAAAACACGGGAAGTCGCCCGCCATCTGGTCCGCACTGAATTGGTAAAGGCCCTCAGAGACTTTGAGGGCCTTGGTGAAGACGCTTCCCCCTGGCGGGGGGGCTGCGGGGTCCTCATCCCCCTCCGAGGACACCTGCGCCCTGGCCTTTTCCATAAGGTCCTGGCGTCCCTGCCACTTGGTGTCGGACATCGGGGGGTCCACCTCATCTTCCGCCAGGGGTTCCTCCATCGGGGGCTCCTCCTCGTCTTCCGCCAGGAGTTCCTCCATGGGAACATCCGGCTCTGGAGGGTCGAGAAGCTCCAGGAACGCCCCTGGGGGGCGTGTCAGGGCCTTCGGCACCTGCGCCACCCCAGGGGGGGAGTCCGCCATCAGCTCGTCCTCGGCCTTACGCTTGGCTGGGATGAGTGGGGCTTGCTCCAGCTCGTCGGCGCTGGAGAAGAACCGTTCGTCCGGTGCCTGAGGGACCTCAGCCGCCAGGACGGTCCAACCTTCTTCCTCCTTTTTCACAAGGCTTGCCAGGTACTTCGCCATGGATGCCTTTGCCTTCGCCTTAGCCTCTGCAACCGCGGCACCAGCATAGGCGGGGGTGTACATGGCTTTGATAGGAGGGGAATGAGAAATTTCAGATTCCAAGACAGAAGGGAAGTGCCCACTTGAGCCAAAATGGTGGCCCAAGTGGACACTTACAAAGAGTCAAGACAAGCGACCACCTGCGGTTAACACTTTAGCCCACTATGCTCGTTAATCTCTCTCTCACACACACACTTGCACGATGGCACAGCTGCAGCAATACACACACACACACACAAACCCGCCCAGCCCGCCCTACCCAACCCCGCTCCACACGGCACCGCAGCGGGGCAGCCAGCCGCCTGCCCGCCCGCCGACCCTCCCGCGCACGCGCGCCCGTTATCACGCGCGCACGCCTGTTGGGCGCAAGCCCGCATGCAGGCCCGCCCGCCCCTCCACCCGCCAGCCCGCACGTTCGCGCACGGCCTGCCAACTGGGGGTCCCTGACTGCTATATAAACGACTCCAAACATGCGCCTCAACACAGGGTACTTGACTCTAGGCCGGTGGAAGCTCGACCGAGTCGC